AGCCCCAGAACCTGGCAATCCCTGCTGCTCTTGGCACAGATGGAGGGCTGCTGGGAGTCACCTCTGAAAATTCTGTCCTGGACTCAAAACTTTTCTCATGTTGACATTGCTCTACTCATCTTTTGAGAGGAATGAATACCTGCAAAATAAGAAGTGCTCTCTTCTTTGGAGGCTTTTACAGACTGTATCCCATTAAATAAAAACAAACTATTGTAAAGTTTTAACCTCTCAATTTAGTAAATCCTAACAATTCAGTAAAAAAAAGAGAAAGTTAAATCCTGTATAAACATGCCATCATAGTATTCCTACACCAAATACATTTATTTGGAAAAAACAGTATTTCAGACATAAGTACTGGATTAGGTTGGTTAGTCGAAGGAACATAAACAAATTCAGAGATGAAGCTACTCCACCACAGGGAAGATAAGGAATGAAGGCATTTTTCCTCCAGCCCAATTCATCTTAGACCACTCTACAGTGTAATTTCAAATTTCTTGTATACAAAACAGAGTCACTACCCAGCTGTAAAATTATTGTACATATGGAAGGTCAAATTCTGGAAGCTTGCTTTTTTTTTTTTTTTTTTTAAACACAGGGAGTAATATGAAGAGAATTCAGTAAGGGCTGTAGGAGCTGGAATCCACCTCTTCCCATGCAGCTGAGTATTTTCATTGCACAAATCTGCTTCACAAATTTAGCATAGGGTTTGGGTTTGTTTTTCCTTTGCGGTTTTTTTGGAGGCAGGGGGAAAAGGGTGAAGTTAGATGGTTTTGTGTGTTTTGAAACACAATGTATCAGATACATTCCAAAGATTTTGTGCAATAAAACATTGGCTTCATCACCTTTTCTGGTATCAGTGAACTAATTCAGGAACATGCCAACTGCTGAAACATAGGTCATCGTGAAATTCCTGACAAATAGGTGTTTGCTGGTATTTTCAACTGGCATCAGGACTGGACGCTATCAATAAAAGAAAGAAGAGATATTTTTTTTAAGCCTTGTTGTCTTTGTGTGCCTGTATTAGAAATATTAGCTACAGTAATACCTAAGTAGTATCTACAAAAAATAAGGTTTACTGCAGTACATGCTGAACACTAAAATTACATCTGTGTTAGCAAGTAGTGTGGACTAGCTGGAGCAGATCTCTAGAAGTGTTGGTGCTGAGGACCTGATGCCTGCACGATTCACATTTCATGGCTTCTATTTTCTGGCTGGTTGGCTGGCTTTTATCTAAACTTGGAGCATCTCTAGAGAGGGCGCATTGCACACCAAACTATTTCAGGTTAAAAAGCTCAGCCTGCTTTTATGTAGCACCGATCAAGAATTGAGCTGGTGAGCATTGCTGTTCCATTTCCAGAGGCAGACAAAAAGGAAGATGTCTTAAAGTGCTTCACTTGCCAAGGACCTGTCCCTGCAGTGCCTACAACCCAACGGGTGTCCCAGGCAACAGAGCGGAGTTCAGCAGATGAGTTACTGTGAGCCTATTATAGCACATTGCCCTAACGCTTTCATGCAGTAACGTGTTTAACGTAACACGGTAACATAGGAACATAGATTTCCATGAAACAGCTTGACATAAAAACAGCTGAGGCCAAACAAAAGTAGCTATGATTGCTGCTAAAATTGTCGGGCCAGTCTTCCCAAGCGTTAGAGTTAGGGCTCGAAAGGCCTGTTGACAGAGAGAGGGACACTTTTCAAAGAGTTAGATACAAAAAGAAGTATTTCTGCGACATTCATTTTTCTATCAATCAAGTGGACCCGATTTTATTTTCCTTCCCCAAAGGACTGAACTTGCAAACACACTCAGGTTCTAATCTCCCCGAATTACTGCAAGTTTCTACGGCTTTCTCAGTAGCAAGCATCCAGCACGCTCAACCAGGGTCTGACAGGACCTCTGCAATACTATTGACTACAAACTGCTATACAGGGAAACTGAGAAAAATTGAGATGGTGTTACTCTAGCAACCTATTGCCATGCTTACTCTTCAGTGTAAGTGACATCCTGTGTATGTGTAACACATTATTTTGGCACAAGGAAACCAATCCTCCAAATATTTCAAACTCAGTAATCACACCTAGCTCTCAAATGGTTTTTACAACAAAGAACTAAAGTCAATTCCAAGCAAAGTTCTACAAGTGTGACCAGTACTCACTAAATGCAGAACACCTGCAAAATTTGTTTAGGTGTAAAAAACAAGCAAGTGCACACAAAACCAGTATTGCAGTTAACTACCAAGCATTAATATAATAGCTTAGACCATAAGACATTTCTGTCAAACTACATTCTGTAACCTAATTTTATATTGGGTCGTTACACGCAAAATGTTGTTATGGGAAAAGACGACACACCTTAGTATAACTAAATCTTAGCAGCCTCATCAAAGATTATTAGTCCAGATCCAATTATGAAGTGAAAAGTGACCATTACCATACATCAAAAAAGGTCTCAACAATAGCAACGGTTAAAATTGTTGCACATATGCTTCCTATTGCCTCACTCCTTTTCCTGGTGTTACACTTACCCATCGGGATCTTGAGGCTGATGGCATCCGTTCGCGCTGGGCACATACAGCAAGTTGTCAGCATCCCAAATCTGAGTGTGACGTTGACAGTTTCTTCCTCCTTAACCTATAGTCGGCTTGAGATCACTTTTACGTTTGATAACACATTTGTAATATCTTGCTTTTTCTTCATCCGTCTGCATCTTCACCTTTACACCCGATTTTACTGTATATGGTGCATTTTACATGTATTATATGCTTTTTCTCTCCATTCTACTCAAAACAGGTTTTGTTTAGAGCCAGGACTGCATTTCTTCAAGTGACTGCCGGGGAGCAGTTTGCAACCCAGGTTTCCAGTGCCAGCCTGCCCCATGGCTCCACATCCCCGGTACTCCTCTACACTGCATCCTGCACTGCCACTTGAGGCTTCCTCTACACTATCTTACTCCATTAAACCCATAAATACCCCATTCTACACAAAATAACTACTTGCTGCTGCCATTGATATAAAACCGATGTGTATACCATATTGAAAAAAAAAAGTACATGTAAAACAAATTAATCATACCCACCCGGTCATTAACAAATTGCTGTTACAGCTAAACCAAGTAAAAAGAAAGCTCCAGGTGAGCGAAGGGAAGCTCAGACAAAGCAAACTTGCTATTTGGTTTACTCACACCGTGACCTATCACTTGTAATGGTAATAGCTGGGCTACAGCTTAGATAGCCAGAAATTCACCCCTTTCTCCATTCCCCCAAAACATAAGCATTTGCAACAGGCTAGAATTGGACACTCTTTTTACTACCAAAAAAAAATCTGCAAGAACTGAGTTAAATGTTAATGTCTGGAATGCTATAGTTCTGAAACATTTTGTTGCCACTGTAGAGTACCAGTTTGCCATAAAATTTGAGATCTATACAACCTTCCCAGTTGCACATCTATGAAATAGTAGGTTTGGATATAGGAAAGAATAGAATTATTACTTAAATATATTACAGGCAACTTTAGAAGCCTGAAATTAAATTCTAATTCACAGTAGCAACATCTTGACAAGACAGTCTCCCTCCCCCTGTGCACTAAATTTTTTGCTTCATTCTTAAGTTATTTGGAATTAAAGTCTAAGCAACACCTGCAAAGCTTAATTAGCCTTTAAATACACATCCAAGTAATGAGGCCAACATGAGTTTAAGAATAGAAATACATACTGCACACTTTCAGCATTTCCATTCAATGGTTCAAAGTGATTGCATTAATGATTCAAAAATCATTACAACTAGTAATGATTTTTCAGTGCAAAAACCATCTTAAAGATGTCTCTGTCCCACAACTTTTTATTGGCCTTTTTTAAAAAAAAAAAAAAAATCATGCAATTCAATGGTTTCCATCCTAGTTAGTTAGAGCCACTTCCATGGAGATTAGGAAGTATAATTTTAGGACTGACCCTCTGGACAGGTGGAGGTTGTTCCAGGCTGTCTTTGGTTGACTATTCCACCCCCCTCCTAGAAAAAAAAGCTGGAAGCTTTTGATGAACCTCGTCATTTCGGAAAAGACAGTTTTGACTGTTAAGATAATCAAACAGCAATCTAGTACTATCTGCATTTAGTATATAAATTTAGACAAGGGAGTTCTGAAATGGCATACTTTCTCTCCCTGACAGGTCTGAGGACTTCTTCCTAGAAAGGCTGACTACGTGCTCTATGTATCTATAGGCATTTCTGCACTAGGAGCAAAGACAAGCTCGAGAAGTTATGCCTGTTTGTAATTTCCCCATACAATGCAGTTTTACACCCTAAATTAACCACAAAACATCTAACTGGCAAGTTGATCTTCTATAGCTATTGTAGGACACTAAATCTGAGTAAGCTTACGTATTTAAGCTGCTGGTCCGAATTCTGATCTAGCTACTCCAGCTATTTAAAAAAAGACCCTCCAGCTCCAGTCTTTCAGTTAATATTAAATTAATGCAATATTAAAAGTTGAATAACAGGAGTTTATACCTTATATACACAGGCAAACCTAGATTAAAGTTTAGTTGTCAGATTTTTAGTTTCCACGCCAAGTAGGTTTCAAAATTTGCAGAAATTGAGTAAAATGGTTTAGCATAGCAAAATACAACCACCCTAAAATATTAAAATACCATCTATGCGACATATCTTATCGCTATTAGGCAGTAGTTACATAAACTCTTAAATTTATGACAAAATAGATTTCCACCACTACATATGTCTCCAAAAAGTTTTTATTTATCATCTTAAACTAGTAGATATTATAAAAATAAACCATTTAACATTCAGTTATTTTTATCATACAGTTTTCTTTTCTTGAAACAGAAAACATATATAGAAAAAAATAGTTTTGAACAGATGTCCAACAGATCATGAAACCATTTGTTCTATTGTTGCAGAAAAATAAAGCATCTCCAAAATAAGGGAACAGTCTTAGTACCCTGTTCTTCCTCCCTTTAAACTGCAATGCTCTGTATGCACATTTATGGAAACTTAGTAAGGCCTGAACTGAGAAGGATGGCTATCTGGAGGAGGTGGAGGAGGTGGTGGCAGAGGTGGCGGTGGCAAAAATGGGTATGAGGAGCTGTACGTGTTTGGGCCTGTCCAAATCATATTCAGATTTGAAGGTGGGAGGTGGAATTGATGCATCTCATTAACAGAATCAAAAACTGGAGGAGGAAACGGATACTGTTGCATCACTGGATTTTCTTTTCTATGAGGTTGCGGAAACACTGGAGATTCCTGATGGATTCTGTTGTCTGAAGAGTATAGCTGTGGTGGTCTTACTTGTGGTCTCAGAAAACCCGGAGGGCCTGACGGAGGAGGAAATGGATCCCTCGGGAACCCTCTGCCACGGTATCCTCTGGAGTAACTTGAAGCAGGCTGTTGCATTGACTGATGAAGTCCTCTATTCTCACCTTAAAAAAAAATACAGAAAAAAAACAAAAAAAACCACACGCAGTTTTAGTATTATTTTGGAAAGATTAAGTTTAGTGGTCACACATGTTTCAACCTTAAGTCATAGAAATTTGAAAAGTAAGCTTATCAACAAATAATACTGGCAAATAATACATAAACAACAAAATAATACTGGCAAGTCTACTGTTTAGTAACTCTTCTTGATTTATTAGAGTAATATAGGAAGAATGATCCTGAGGGTTGCAAATTCAGTCATTAAAAAGAGAAATTTCACTTTCTTCCCCTACAGACATTTTCATTTGTGTTAATGAATCACAGGAACAGTCAAACTGTGAGTATTCTGGGAGCTTTGGTTTAAAACAAGATTTAAAAGCAACACATTTTAAAAATGAAGACAAATCAACACTGCATTACACTGAAGTGGTATACAGCTTTCAGACCTGAGTTGATATTTCAAAAAAGGAAGGCAGGCAGAAAAGCCAGGAGGCCTACATGGATGAACAAGGAGCTCCAGGACATGACCAAAAGGAAAAAGGAAGCCTATAGGGAGTGGAAACAGGGGCAGGTAGCCCGGGAGGAATACAGAGGAATTGTTCGAGCAGCCAGGGATCGGGTTAGAAAAGCTAAAGCCCAGACAGAACTCAATCTGGCCATGGACATTAAGACAAACAAAAAAATCCTTCTTTGAGTATGTCAGCGAGAAAAGAAAGACTAGGAAAAATTTGGCCCTCTCCAGAAGGGATCATAAGAACTGGTTACCCAGGACAGAGACAGAGCTGAGGTCCTCAACTACTTTTTTGCCTCAGTCTTCACTGGCAAGGACGGCAGCCACACTGCCCATGACGCAGAATGTAAAGGCGAGGATTGGGAAAGTGAAGAACCACCCACTGTATGTGAGGATCAAGTGCGAGACCACCTGAGGAACCTGAAGGTGCACAAGTCCATGGGACCTGATGAGATACATCTGCAGGTCCTCAGGGAACTGGCAGATGAAGTCACTAAGCCACTAGCCATCATATTTGAGAAGTCGTGGCAGTCTGGCGAAGTTCCTGCCAACTGGAAAAGGGGAAACATAACCCCTGTTTTCAAAAAGGGAAAGAAAGAAGACCCAGGGAACTACAGGCCAGTCAGTCTCACCTCTGTGCCGGGCAAGATCATGGAGCAGATCGTCCTGGAAACTCTGCTGAGGCACATAGAAAACAAGGAGGTGA